AAATGCTAAAACACCCGAGCGACATTTCCATGAAACTGATCACTGGAGATCAATGTATCCCATCCTCCTGACTCACACCTCAGAACAAACAGTCCTCTTTCTCAGGCCAGGCCTCTGAGCTCTCCTCGCAGCTCTCCTGCTGAGAGGAGCCTGGATTCTGGCCCCTGGCTCTTTCTTTCCTATCTTCTCTTCCTCTACTCCCTGCGTTGATAAGCTAAATGTTATTGACTGCTGCCTGAGCTCTTTTTCTTGTTGGCCTTCCAACAAGAAGGACAGAGTTAAAGCAGCTGGGGCTTGGCAAACAGCCCCTTTCCCTGCCAGGGTTTTCTCTTCCTTCCCTCCTCATCTCACAAAAGGGCAGCTCTGCCTCAGTATCTCACCACCCACTCTGCAGATCAGCAGCATGGAATCTGGCCTCGGCCCTCCAGAAGCCTGCCCCCTGGAAAGCCTTCCTTTCTAAGGCTGGGTGTGCACACACCTTCCTTTCTAAGGCTGGGTGTGCACACACAACCCGCCCACCGTGGCTCAGAACAGCAGACAGGAGAGGGCTGGGGTGCAGCTCAGCTGGATGAGTGCTGGCCCAACACCACAAAGCTCTGGGTTCCATCCTTAGCAGCCAAGACCAGTGCTTGGGAGGTGAAGGCAGGAAAACCCGAAGGCCAGAGCCATCTTCTGCTACTGTTGTTACTGTTTTATTTGATCTTTCTGTACTGGGGATGAAGGTGGGTCTCATGACTGCTAGACAAGCACTGTGCCACAGAGCTACACCCCCACCTCAGAGGATAGCTTTTCCTCTCTAATGCATCACGGAACTCTCTAGAACCTCCCTATTTATAACATAGAGCCACCTACACACACTCAAGCGTGGTAAATCCATGCATCTTTACACGCACACCACCAGGAAACTAGAGACATCTAACATCTTATCTGTGAGAAATACGAAGAATTCTTACACCACACATTCAAAACACAAAGAAACACATAATTTTGGGTTTCCTATATGTTCCTGGATCAAGAACAACATCTAAGGTTGCTATTTTAAAACCAAATTAAAAGTTGTTTTTTTTTATGACAGGAAACTACTCTAACAATAACACTTTATTTCCTGCAAACTACAAATAAATTCCATGCATTCCCACGCTCACTTCTCTCTGGAGCCCAGGGCCACAGGCTCAGAGACCAGTGCGTCCTGTGTCATTAAGAAGAAAGTTTGGCCACCGTTCTGAGGTCTTTCTCACTGTTTTGAACCAGTCAACAAAGAATTTGACAAACTAAAATACATAAAACCTTATACATTAAGGAAGGCTCATACGATGTCAGTGGATGCGGATTTTTACTGAGATACCATCATGGAGTAGCCAGACTCTCAGAAAACTCCAGTATGATCTTGTTTTATCAATCTCTGAATCTTTTCCTGACAGAGCTTGCCAGCTGTGACACGTGGTGCTGACCCCCTCCCTTTTCAGGGCACAAGCAACCGTGACACAAGGCAGTCCAGTCAAGAGCTCACACAAGTGTTTGGGAATTACTAACTAAACAAAGAGGAATTGCAAGGCCTGAAGCCACATTCCTAAACTGAGTTCCCAGGAACATTCCTCCTCAGAGGTGCTTACTAACACAGGATGGACGGACAGACAGACCAACAGACGGGAGGCGAGTCCCTGCTGTGCACAGCACAGAATCTCCCTCTGGAATCCACAAGGCTGAGATCTTACCTGGCTTTCACTCAGCAGTCCCCAAATTTACCTGCCACTCCTTTTTTTTCTAGTATTGTGATTAACATTCCACATGTACCTCAGGCCTTGCTAGTCCGGTCAGTTCTGCTAAATTCACAGCCCCAGGTATTGTGAGTAATTATCCTTTGATTACATCAGGAGTAGTCAGAAGTTAAGATGTCCATTTGTTTTGATGGAGGGGATTGGGCCTCAGGCATGCTTAGCTTTTGCTCTGGCACTGAGCTATGCCCTTAGCCCCTAGCCGCAATTTTGTCCCTCATCCAGTTTCTGACCGGGTAGAATTTATATCCCTTGGTGGAAAAATCTCAGTCTACAACAATGCAAAGCACTGGGTCTGTCACTACCAGCTTCCGGGGGAGAAGGGAGTGAGGTGGCCTTGCTTTCTATCCACACCTTTTTCCTGGCATTACAGGATATGCCAATTCCTTGGTCTGGCACCCGACCAACATGACTAAGATTTTGTGTTCTGGAGTCTCTGTCTTCTCTGCTTTACAGGCCTTTGGCAAATTGTTTCCCCTCTCTGAGCGTCAAGTTTTTAATCTGTGAAACAGAACCAGAGGTACCTACCTACGAAAGACAGGCTTCAAGAGCAGAACCAAGCGGCTCAGTGAAGCTCTCAGAATGCTCTCCAGGGACACACCAAGCACAGGTGCTGTTACTTCTCATGCTTCTGGCCCCCGTCTTTAGTTAACAGAGCTTTAACAGCTGGGACAGAGGACAGAGGAAATGGAAACCTCGGGTGGAAGAGGAAGAAGGCGCCTGCGGATGTATTCTACAATGTGAGATGAACTCAGAGGCACAGGCGCAAAGATCAAAGCTTTTAAGTCTACAAAATAAGAGATGCATCCCAGTCTGGGGACCCAAGCTCCCCTGCAGAGCCTCCATGTCTGCACTAAGCACCTGAAGATGTGTTCTCCATGCAGGAGGCACGTGGTCTCTACTTAGATAGCCACCGAAGGCCACTTCCACAGAAGGGTATGAGCTGATGCCACTAAACACACTTTCCTAACCACGGAGACAAATGGAGCTAACATTTTGTTTTAAAAAGTGTATGCTCAGCAAGTATTTGTTGAATAAATAAGGATTTGAATGAAGGAGAATTAAGTCTGCCTATGAATATATATACATATATATATATATAGAGAGAGAGAGAGAGAGAGAGAGAGATTCAAAGAATGATTCTCATATGCTATGACAGGTTTTTCTAACCACTTAAAAATGTAAGAACCTATATATATATATCATTCTTTCTTTTTTTTAAATGTAAGAACCAGCTGGGCCTGGGGGTTCACACTTATAAGCCCAGCATCCAGGAAGTTGAATTCCAGGCCAGCCTGGGCTGTAATATGAGGCCCTGTGTTGCACAAACAAGAAGTGTAAAATCCATTCTTAGCTCACAACCTTTGTAAGAATAGGTGGTAGTCACATCTGACCCCTGAGCCAAACCCTTCTTAGGAAATGACAGGGAATGCATCCATGAGGAAATGTCTCTTGAGTATCTGCTGTGTGATGGTAACTATGCTGTCCTGCTGATACCACAGCCGGGAAGCAAATCCTGCAGTCCCTGCCCTTAGGAAGCTAGAGTTCTAAACAGGAGAACTGATTACAAATAAGATAGCCGGGGCCTGGCTGCTTGGAAAGAGAAAGGAAAATGACAGGCTCAGGGAGGCCATGCCAGAGGCAAGAGTTCTGTTTTCTGCCCTGTGACTTCGGCCACATCTGACCTACTAGATACCCCGTGGGGTACCATCTCCGCTCACAGCTGGTAACAGCAGAAGCTGGAACACAAACCCAGGCTCTGTCTCTAAGCCCAGGCCATGGGTGACTGAAAAAGAGCCTAAGTAAGAGTCAGGAGTCCATGACTGAATCTTCCCTCTGCTCAACCTCTCACGGCCTCACTATCAAAGATGGAAAATAATCAGGACTGAGGAGAACATCAAAAAGAGCTATGGTGCTCACCCAAGTGCCTGGCACACAGTCTGATGGACAAAACGGCTTCTTCCTTTTCTTCCTCTTCCTTCTTCTACCTCTTCTTTTTGTTTTATTCTTGAGACAGGGTCTCACTGCGAGCCCTGACTGGCCTAGAACACACTACATAGACCATACTGGCCTCAAATCCCGAGATCACCTGCCTCAACTTCTTCCTCTCTTCCTCCTCTCCTCCCTTCATCTCCCTCCTCCTCCTCCTCTTCCTTCTCCTCCCAGGGTCTCACTATGCTGCTCAGGCCACCTTCAAATTCCTAAGTGTCCTCCTGCCTCAGCTTCCCAAGTTCCGCTTATAGACTCCTCCTGTGACACCCGGGTTTGGAAATAAGCCTGCTCGCCTGTCCTTGACATGTCATTATTAACAAAGGTAACTAGTTGGGACTGTTCTCCGTTCTGCCTGTCCAGTAGTCACCTTCCACGTTCAGTGCAATCACTAGCACAGCTAATCTGGATTGTGTAACATGAACTTCGCTGAGGGACACTGATGCTGTAGTCAACTCACACCCAAACAAAACAGCCAACACTGGGCTCTGCCATCCAGGCTACAGCTCCTCTTTACCCTCACTCGGCCTTAACCTTGAGGGAAGATTTTCATTTGAAAATGAAAGGCAGAACAAAGTATCTTAGACTCCAATGCCTCTATACTCTTGTTTTCAGTCGTGCATGATACAGCATGGGGTGGCAGGAGAGACAGCTCAGTGGCTAAGAACACTTGCTTTTGAAGAGGACCTGATTTCAGATCCCAGCGCCTGCATCAGGCCGCTCCAGCCACGTAACTCCAGCTCCAGGCAAACCCTTTTTAGGTTGAATGACCGAATGCACAGAGCACAAATCCACACTTCCACACACATACACAATAAAAATAATTTTTAAGGCCAGGTAGTGGTGTCATACGTCTTTAATCCCAGCACTCGGGAGGCAGAGGCAGACAGATCTCTGTGAGTTTGAGGCCAGTGTCTACAAAACAAGTTCCAGGACAGCCAGAGCTGTTATAAAGAGAAACCCTGTCTTGAAAAAGTAAAATAAATAAATGATTTTTAAAAAGATAATACACATAATTTTAGCTTAAAAGTTTAAAAGCCAGAGCCTAGGGGTTGGGAGTATACAGTTCATTTGGTAGACTACTTGCCTAGTATGTACAAGACCTTGGCTGCTATCCCTAGCCCTACAAATAAGCAAACAAGCAAATGAGGGTATTTCATTATAAATTAATAATCAGAATTGTGGGTCCCTAGTTACACAGAAGGAAACAAATCAAGGAAGGGCATATTTCCAGAAGCCTTCAGAGAATACAATATTTAGTTATGGCAAAAGTAACCACATGAAATACACAGCACTCTAAGGGAGAAAACAAAGCAAACAAATATAAATGCTGTTGCTGTTGGGTTTTGTTGTTGTTGTTATTAGTGGTGGGGATCAAACTCACTACAGATGCATGCTTGACAAGCGTTCTACCACTGAGCTCTACCCTCCACCCCCGTCCTGGGTCTGGGTAGAATTTCTGAATGAATGTTGCTTCACTACGCGATTAAGTCGTGCTTTACCTAGGAGTAGAAAGAAACATTTGTTAAACTAAAGATACGATATGCATTGGACAAATGACATAAGATGGGAACTTCACAGTGACCTAAGAAAAACACATGGAATATGAACTATTATTAGCAGGCAGAAGAGTTTCTACTGGAAAATGACTGAGCATCTGCATAAATGTGTTAACCTAACACGCTAGCAAAAGCCACATTCAAACTGCCATGGGTATCTCCAGGAAATCGGGGTCTTCTAGCTGCTACAAGTTTACCAGGCAGATTCCAGCAGAGAAACCAATGGCTTGTTCACACATCTATGTAATGCAGAGAAGAATCAGTCAAGAGAGTAATTACAAAAGTCCTTACAGCTGGGGGTGGGAGCTCATGACTGTACTCCCAGCACCCAGGAGGATGAGGCAGGAGGACTGCTGCAAGTTCAAGTCTAGCCTAGGCTACATAGAAAATGCTAAGCTAGCCAGGGTTACATAATGTAGTTGGTTGTTTTTTAACTCTTTGGCTCTTTGGAGGACCTGCCACCCAGCTCCCAAATAAATCACACAGAGTCTTATTCTTGCTTATGAATGCTTGGCCTTAGCTTGGCTTATTTCTAGCCAGCTTTTCTTAACTTAAATTATCTTATATTTTGCCTCTGAGCTTTTATCATTATCTATTTCTGTATACCTTTTTTTTTTAATTCTCTGTGACTTGTCCTGTAGTTGGGTGACTAGCTTCTGGTGTCCTCTCTCCTCCTCCTTGCTCCTTGATCCTCTTAGACATCTCCTATCATTTATTCTCTCTGCCTGCAGCCCTGCCCATCCTTTCCTGCCAAGCTATTGGCCATTCAGCTCTTTATTAGACCAATCAGGTGTTTTAGACAGGCAAAGTAACACAGCTTCACAGAGTTAAACAAATGCAACATAAAAGAATGCAGCACATTTTTACATCATTAAACAAATGTTCCACAGCATAAACAAATGTAACACATCTTAAAATAATATTCCACAACAATACAGTGAGACTTTATTCAACACAAAGGGAAAAAAAGAGGAGTGAAGGGGGCTGTGGAAATGGCTCAGTTGGTAAATTGATGGCCTTGCAAACATGAGGTCCTAGGTTCAATCCCTAGAACCCATGTGAAAAAAAACTTCCAGCATAGCAATTTGTGAGTGATTGTAATCCCAGCACTAGACAGGGCAGAAAGGAGGATCTGTGGGGCCCGGTGGTTAGCCAGTCAAGCTTTCATGGCTAGTGACTTGAGGGCACTGAGGGATAATACTCAGGCAATCCTCTGGCCTCCATATGCACATACACAAATATGCACATACACAAATATGTATATCATACACAAGCATGAACCTGTTGCAGAATATTTCAACTATGCAAAGATGTGCTGCATTTGTTTACCTATATAAAGATGTGTTGCATTTGTTAATCATGTAAAGATATATTGCTGCTTTACCTTGCCTGTCTAGCCTTACATCTAATTGGTCTAATAAAAAGCTGAATGGCCAGTTGCAAGGGAGGAGGAATAGGTGAGACTTCTAGGCAAGGAGAGTAAGTAGGAGGAGAAATTTAGTTTCGGGAAGGAAAAAAGAAGAGGAAACACCAGGGGCCCGACAGCCAGACTCGGAGGAAACTGAAAAATAGAACATTCAGAATGAGAGAAAGGAAAAAAAAAAAAAAAACACCGAGGCAAAATACAGATGAATAGAAACAAACAGGTCAAATTGAGGTTAAAAAAAAAAAGTAGGAAACGCCTAAGCTAAGGACAAGAATTCATAATTAATAATAGGTCTCTGTGTCTTTATTTGGGAGCTGGTTGGCAATCCAAAGGAATTTCCAACACGTACACACACACACACACACACACACACACACACACACACACACCGGGAGAGCAGTAGAGCTGTGGATGGCTGTGGGTGTAGTTTAGTTGGTACAGTATCTTACCTAGCACACAGCGTCCTGCATATGATCTTCAGCCCTGCATAAAGCAGACATGGTGGCACAGAAGTGGAATCCTAATACTGGAAGCAGAGGGAGGGAACTATATAACCTTTTGGAGGTCATATTATTTATACATATATATATATATTCTTCAACATATAACCTATTTTTTTTTTTGGTTTTACAAGACAGGGTTTCTCTGTATTGTTTTGGAGGCTGTCGGTCCAGCCCGGCCTCGAACTCACAGAGATCCGTCTGCCTCTGCCTCCCGAGTGCTGGGATTAAAGGCATGCGCCACCACCGCCTGGCCAACATATAACCTATTTAAGGCCAAGTTATATAATCTTCAATATAGAATCTTCAACATATAACCTATTTGAGGCCAGCCTGGGATTCATGAGAACCCATCTCAAATGAACAATAAACAAAATATTGAATATTAGGGTTAGAAGAAATGATCATTACTAGCAAAAACTTTTTTAAATGGGGTATTAGCTTTATAGGTGTCAAACCCTACTTGCAATCATCATTGGAATTTTGAGACAAGTTCTCATTATGTAGCCCTGGCAGGCCTGGAACTTGCTCTGTAGACCAGGTTGGCCTGGAACTCACAGAGATCTGCCTGCCTCTGCCTCCTGAGTGCTGGGATTAAAGGTGTGTGCCACTACCACCTGGCAAAATTAAATCTTAAACCAGGTGTAATGGCCCACCTGGAATCCCAGCATTTGGAAGGCTGAGGTAGGATGTCCCTAAGTCTGAAGCCAGTCTTGGTGACACATTGGAATCTAAGCCCTTTTTCCACCTTTTAAAATTTAAACCACGGACCTTCTTATCATCTTTATTGACAGATAGTTTTCCAGACAGATCAGCCGTTAGGTTCTGCTAAATAAAAATAAATGTAGACAATCATGGAACAAGAATATAACACATTCTTAGTAATTTAATCTGCAAGAGTCTTCAATTCATTCAGGCTGTGACAGACAAGCCAGTGACTGTGTGCCTTGAGCCTGGGAGAAACACTGTAGCTCTTTCAGCATCTGGCTGGGCAAGTGCTGTAAGCCTGGAGCCTTTTTAGTCTGCAGGCTTCCAGCCGATGAAATAGCTTAAGCTCTGGCCTTAAAATTCCTAAGTCAGGCAAATGGAAAAGTCCAGAAGTGATGACCCAGTTGACATGGGGTCTGATAACTCTTATGGCAGGGTTGGGCATGCTGGAGGTAGGCTGGGGAGGGAGGGAAAGGCAGCTCTGGCTCCTGCCACTTAGTTAGGCCATGAAAGACAAAGCAGGTGGTCAAGAGAGGTAGGTGGGCTGAATGGTCAGCGTAGCACATTCATTAATCCCATCACCCAAGAGGCAGAGGGAGGCAGACCTCTGTGAGTTCAAGACCAGCCTGGCCTACAAATGGAGTTTCAGGACAGTTAGCCAGGACTACACAGTGAGACTCCAAATGAGAGAGTGACAGAGACAGAGAGAGAGAAGTGGGAACGGGGCAGAGTGTCACAGAAAGCTTTTAAGCTGGAAGGTGTATGACAGCTTTTGAGGGACCTGGGTTGTTCACTTGTCTGTGTGATGAACAGAGTGGAACAAGACCATCAACTAACATCATGACAGAGCTATATAAAGCACAAATAAATGCCTCCATTTTCTTTTTCTTTTTTTGGGTTTTGGTTCTGTTTTTTTTTTTTTTTCAAGACAGGGTATCTTTGCATAGTCCTGGCTATTCTTGAACTCACTCTGTATTACAGGCTGTATGCGCCACCATGCCCAATTTAAATACATTCATTTTGTGGTTAATTTGTAAAGGCAAGGGCTCAACTCAAGGCCAGCTTCACCTCAACCCGTGTCTTGATAGAGTTAGTCCCATGCGATATTTCTCAAAAATAGAGAGCTAGAAAGGAAGTCTGAGTATGTATGGCACAAGCCTTTAATCCCAGCACTTGTCAAGCAGAGGCAGATGGATCATTGTGACTTCGAGGCCAGCCTAGTCCACACAGCAAATCCAAGTCAGTGAGAGCTACACAGTGAGACCCTGTCTCAAAAAATAAGTAATTTAATTTAATGAAGCTGGATAGGAGGCTGAGGAGTTAAGTGAAAGGCTGATGCTAGCCAAGGCTAAGTAAGTCCTATAGGATTAGCCTTGGATAAGAGGAAACAGCTAAGTTTTCAAAGACCAAGTTTGGGTCTGTCTTATGATTTCTATTTTCTTCTTTTTGTTTTTGGTTTTTCGAGACAGGATTTCCCTATATTGTTTTGGAGGCTGTCCTGGAACTCACTCTGTACACCAGGCTGGTCTCAAACTCACAGAGATCCACCTGCCTCTGTCTCCAGAATGCTGGGATTAAAGGCGTGCGCCACCAACGCCCGGCTGTCTTATGATTTCTAATGCTGTGAAGAGACACCATGACCGCGACACCCCTTATAAAGGAGAACATTTAATTGGGGCTGGCTTACAGTTTCAGAGGTTCAGTCCATTATCATCATGGTGTGACAGGGTGGCATGCAGGCAGACATGGTGCTGGAGAAGGAGCTGAGAGTCCTACATCTTGATCCACAGGCAGGAGAAGGAAAAACTGCCACACTGGGTGTGGCTTAAGGGTATATAAGACCTCAAAACTCACCTCCACAATGACACACTTCCTCCAGCAAGGCCACACCTACTCCAACAAGGCCACACCTCCTAATAGTGCCACACCCTATGGGCCAAGCACTCAAACACATTAATCTAGGGGAGGCCATTCTTATTCAAACCACCACAGGGTCATAGAAACTTGAAACAGAAGTATATGCTGGGTAATGGGAAATGAAGACAAACTTGAGTTTATAATCCTAGAGTCACTAGTCAAAACCTCCTGTGGCTGTGTCTTTCAGAACAGTAATATCCTGAGTTTCCACATCTGTAAAATGAAGATGCTCATCATTATGTGACAAGTGTCACATAATGTTATTTACTTAACATAAAATTATATTTAATAATGTGAAACATGGTGCTTGGCACATGTACGTTGTGTGTAAGGCAGGAGTGGAGACAGCTCAGAGGTTTACAGCACTGGCTGCTCTTCCAGAGGACACTGGTTCATTTCCCAGCACCGACATGGCAGCTCACAGCTGTCTTACAGGGGATGTGACACCTTCACACCAATGCACATAAAACAAATTTAAGCAAGTTGTTTTTAATATTGCCAGGCAGTGATGGCACATGCCTTTAATCCCATTACTTAGGCAGAGGCAGAGACAGAGGCAGGTTGATCTATGTGAATTCAAAGCCAGCCTGGTTGACAAAGTGAGTTCCAGGACAGCCAGGGTTACACAGAGAAACCCTGTCTTGAAAAAACAAAAAACAAAATTTAATACTTGTTTTAATATTTGAAACTATGTATATGTGGTGGTAGGGTATGGGTATGAGCACAGAAGCTCACAGAGGCCAAGGTTCTGGGTTCCCCTGGAGCTGAAGTTACAGGTCGTTGCGAGTCAGTTGGTAAGCGTTCTGAGAATCTAACTCGAGCCCTCTGCAAGAGCAGTATGTACTCTTAGCCACCAAGCCGTCTTGCCAGCCCCCAAAAGAAAAACTGTTAAAGCCAACAGAGAAATTAGATGCATCGCAGCAAGTCCTTGTGATTTATTTAAAAGTTGGGTTGGGGCCGGGAGTTGGTGGCGCACACCTTTAATCCCAGCACTCGGGAGGCAGAGGCAGGTGGATCTCTGTGAGTTCGAGGCAAGCCTGGTCTACAGAGCAAGTTCCAGGACAGCCTCCAAAACAATACAGAGAAACCCTGTCTCGGAAAAAAAAAAAGTTGGCTTGGAGGGCCAAACTGGGAAACAGATGAAAAGGTGTTGTTCTCCAGCAGGTGGTTGTAGCGTCCGATGGTATGAAACTAAACCTGAAATCTTCCATAGAAAAGACAAATCAAAAAGTGGAATTGCAGAATGTTAAGAGGGCGGGCACAGGATTCAAGACAGGGTTTCTCTGTGTAGCCCTGGCTGTCCTGGAACTCAATATGCAGACCAAGCTGGCCTGGAACTCACAGACATCCACTTGTCTCTGCCTCCCAAGTGCTGGGATTAAAGGCTTATGCCATAGCCTTGTACCAGGCTGTATTGCAGAATATTTTTCTGGTAGAATTTTTTTTTAAAGACTACTCACTCATTCAGTAGTGGTAGAACCAGGCTGTATCTCTAGAAGAGTTGTTTCTGATAATCTTTCTTCCTCAAGCCTCAGGTTCAGTGGCCTTTTCCTGTGCGTCATGCCCCCTGCCCTGCCCTGACTTTTCTCTCTGCCTGGGATGCTACCCTTCCTGAGATCAACACTCAGCTGACTGCCCAGGCCTATGCACAGGGACACTGGAGACCAACCGAACACCAACTCCTCTAATGGGCTTGGATCTAATCTCCAATCTCTCTCTACTCAGTGACTGTGGCTTTGTTTCCTTCAAGGAACTACTGTTCCATTCTATGCCAAAAACACTCTGCCTGAGTCAGTCAGGTAACTCAGCTGGGGGTGTGGATCCTAAACAGATTGAACTCTTTGCAAAAGCCTCTGTACACTTACAAAAGTGGCCCCGCAAAAGGCAAATAACTTACCATGGCCTCCAAACTCCCATGAACTTGAAAAACTTAATTTAATTAGCCTTGGGGTTAATCAACTCAGGGTCTCCTCTGGGGCTAGAAAAGAGGTTTGCATGAAATAGGCATTCATTAGAGTCAATCGAAATCATCAACACTTCCCCAAAAGAAAGAAAGAAAGAAAGAAAGAAAGGAAGAAAGAAAGAAAGAAAGAAAGAAAGAAAGAAAACTGCTTCACTTGGAGCTAAATATAGCTCAGTTGGTAGAGTTCTACACACACACATACACACACACACACACACACACACACACACACACACACACACACGTCTCTGGAGCAAGAGGATCAGTGCAGGGACACACAGCCAGTTAGAGGCCAGCCCGGGCTACAGGAGGCCCTGTCTCAAATACAACAAATAACAACAACCAAAACACGGCATGTTGGCACATGGCTCTAATCCCAGCATTCATGAGGCAGAGGCAGGTGGATTTCTGTAAATTCGAGCCCAGCCTGGTTTATATAGAGAGTTCTAGGCTAACCAGGACTACACAGTGAGACTCTTATCTCCAAAAAAATGGGGTATGGGGGGAGAGGGTGAAGGGGAAAAAAAAGAAAGAAAAAGAAAGGAACACTTCCTTATTCGTGCAAACTGAGGATCGTACCATTAACCAAACAGGAACAAAAGTGAAAGTAAATTATTACATGTCTCTCTGGGACCGCAAGGCCTACACACAGCAAATCTGGGGTCACTATCAGGGATCCGGGTCTTCTGCTGTGCTCCCAAAGCCTCTGACTCACTGCGATCTTGGGTAATAATTCTCCCAAACTCCCTACGCCTCATTTCCTATTTTTGCAACATGGAAAATAAGTTTGTCCCTATCTACTGACAGAAGTTGCCCGGAAAAGAGATGACACACAAATGCCTTTGGAACACTTTACTGTCTGTGGTTTCGAAGGCTTGCTCAGTTGCAGTGGTTATTTTGATTCCCAGCCTCCTTCCAGGTCCAAAATATTCTCGAATGTGCTCAAATTTAGCACTGGCGATAAGAGCATGTTGTGCTGGAACGCACTCCAGAGCCATGCAGGCCATTGCTTAACAATGTGTATTTCCCAGTCACTTGGTAAGCATTAAAAGCCTCACCCCTTGCCAGGTGGTGGCACATACCTTTAATCCCTGCATTTGGGAGACAGAGGCAGGTGGATCACTTTGAGTTCGATGTCAGCCTGCTCTACAAATCTAATTCCAAGACAGTCAGGGTTATGCAGTAAAACCCAGTCTTACAAAGAAAACAAAACAAACAAAAAACCCCTCACTCCTTTTATAAATTCTGTATTACAACAACAAGGGTTAATGTTTTCCATTTTCCTTTTTTTTTTTTTCCAGCTTTTAGAGACAGGGTTTCTCTGTAGCTTTGGAGGCTGTCCTGGAACTTGCTCTTGTAGACCAGGCTGGTCTTGAACTCAGAGATTCACCTGCCTCTGCCTCCTGAGTGCTGGGATTAAAGGCATGCGCCACCACTACCCAGCTAATGTTTTCCATTTTCAAATATGCTTGTTTGCTAATTATTTATTTCATGTGTATTGATGTTAACCTGCATGTATGTCTGTTGAATCCACTGGAGTTACAGACAGCTGTGAACTACCATGTGAGCCCTGGGAATTGAACCCACGTCCTCTGGAAGAGCAATCAGTGCTCTTATCCTCTAGCCCACAAATACATTTGTTGTTTATAACAAATAAGTGGAGGCCTGGGAGAAGGTTGAGCAGATAAAGCATCTGTAATATAATTTGAAATTATGCATGACTCTTTTCTGGTGACAGTTGTGAGTGTAGTTAATATTCCTAAGGTTTGTCACCATTCATGAATGAAATTTATACTACACTGCAGTTAGAGGTCAAAGAAAATATAATCTTTTCCCTCCTGAGTCCCCAGGATCCCAAACATTCAACCAAAGACAATGTTCACAGATACCCGGATAAGGGCAGCTGTTTAGAGGGACTGGGTCCATTTATCTTTATGTTTGCAGGGAAGGGCTTAGTACATTGCAGCTGTTCCTGGGTATCTGCATGGGGCTGGTTCCAGGACCCCCAAGGAAGCCAAGTCAATGGAAGCTCAAATCCCTTGTATAAAGTGACGAGGTATTGTACTGAAACCGGCACTCACCCTTCTGTGCACTTTAAGTCATGTCTCATTTACTTATAAATCCTCATACAATGTAAAGATTTCCACAGTTGTTCCCCTGTCGTTTGTGCTATAAATGCGAGGAAGAAAGTCTTTATATGCTAAGTATGTGAGTCTGACTATATTTCTAAACTTTGTTCGCCGAATCTGTGTATGAAAACAGCAGGTAAAAAAGACCTATTACAATAACACTAAATATGAACCCAGAACCCAAAGGCAAAGACTTTCTTCTTTGGAGAGCTCATGCCAAAGCAGACCTTGGGAAATGGCTCGTGGAGGATAGAGAGTGTGCAGACACATCTATGTAGAAACACATCCCTCCCAGGCTCCGTGATAGCAGTTAGCTCCTCAAAGCATTAGCATAAAAACATAGCCAGAATCACACACAAACACACACACACACACACTGGGGACATTTAGAGGAGAGAGTCGTTCCCTAACAACTCCCTTGCCATGCGCAATAGGATCTTGAAAAGGGCACCACACTTCTCTAAATACGTAAGAAATGTAAAAAGTTATCTTCTCATAGTCTTCGGCTTCCCCAGCAGTGACTAATGCAAGATGTTTCAGTCTCTCTTAATATTACCAAATACTTCTCTTCTTCTCCTTTTGTTGCTTCAGTTCTGGTCGATAGCATTTCATAAGACTGTAAAAATAAAGAAATAAATGAGAGCAAGCTGGAGTAACAGCGCAGCATCTATGGAGAAAGTGTCTTGCTCTCTGCGACTTTTCCAGGTCCTTCCAGGGCACACCGGACACCATCTGTACCTGAACCCAGCATCTTTGCACACACCCAGACCCGTTTCCATTCCACAGCAGCCAGAATGAGACAGCTCCTCCACCTTCCACTGTCTGCCCGACTTCAGATTTGAAGTGGATTGGTTCATAACTTCCAGCATCACCCTCAAGAATAAACGCCAGGAAAAAATATTTTACCTTAAAAGCGCTTCTTCAGTCCTACCCAGGAAACTTAGGAGCCATGCTCACACTTCACCAGCCAGTCAGACTCACAAGAATGTTGAGCAAGCTGTTGGCCCACCCCCAGCCCCATCCTGTCTGAGGTTTAAACATCTGCAACATAAGAAATGAGCTATGCAGAAATAAGCAGTTTTGGAAACTGTGTGTCAGAAAATAGTGGCTCATTGCCTGTCTGAGGCATTCCTGTAAAATTCCTACAGAAACACTGAGCAAAATCCCCCAGCTTGCTGGGACACGAGGGCCACAGTCCTGCAGGAAAGGAGGGGAGGGAATAGGTGTCCCTGAGCCTTCCCGGTGGGGGGGTTGACAGAACACTTTGCACACTTTAGGAATGGGCATTTTCTCCCACCTTCACTCCCCTGCAGCAACTTTCTCACCTCCGAGCTGCAAACATGTTCACATCATGCTCGGCGAAGCAGCAACTCCCTCTATACCACTTCCTGGAGTTACCAAACAGCCTGCCCTTTGTCTTTCTAGTCTAACTTCCTAAGACAGTGGTCCCCAGTCAGGGTCTTCCAGTCCTGCTCCTGAGATGGTGCTTTGGTCTTGGTTTATTGGGATTTAATCCAGTCCTCAGAAGGAAGAGGCAAAGACAGAGGCAGGAGGATCTCTGGGTTCAAGGGTATACTAACCTACATGGTAAGTTCCAGGTCAGCCAGGCCTATATAGTGAGACCCTGTCTCCCTGTCTCCAATATATGAATAATTCCCAGTTTTCTGGAACAGAAGGACCACAGCTCTGCAGGAAAAAAACTGGAATAGATGTCCCTTGAGCACATATATTGTTGGGGGCTAGAGGCATAGTTTAGTTGGATATCTAGCATGCATAAAGCCATGAGTCCAATCCACAGTACCTCATAAACCAGGCATGGAGGTGCACACCTGTAATCCCAGCACATGAAGGCAGGAGATGGAGATTCAGAAGTTCACCTTCAGCTACATAGTAAATTCCAGGCCACCTTGGGCCACAGGAGACTGTCTCAAAAGACACATGTATCATCACACAGTCAGACAGACAGACAACAGCCACCCCTGTGGCACACACTTTCAATCCCAGTACTCAGACACAGAAGCAGGGAAATCTCTGAGTTCAAGGACAGCCTAGTCTGTGGAATGAGTTCCAGTAGAGCCAGGGTTACACAGAGAAACCCTGTCTTGAAGAGGAAAAAAAAAAGGCAGACGTAACAGTATGCACCTATCATCTCAGCACTCCTAGGGTAAGATGGCAGACTACACAGAATTGTGCAGCTAGCCTGGAGTTTGCAGCATGGCAGAAAAAAGTGGGACCCTGTCTCTATACGATGGAAAGAGAAAAGCAATTCCTGAAGTGGTCCTCTGACATCCACACATATGTCATGACAAGCACATGCTCACACTCGCAAACACCACATGCGTGCACACACACACTAATAATAAATTAAAAATTAAAATTCTATAAAAGGTATTTCATGGGTAATCTTTACACTAAATTGTCCATGGTTGGGTGTGGTGGTGCATGCCATCTTAGCATTCAGGAAGTAAAGAGAGGAGGCTAGAGAGGTACCCAACCATCAGCCTGGGCTACACAGCAACCCTCCAAAAACCAAAACCAAGATTGTAACAAAGCCAAAACTACCAACTATCAACATGAATAACATTTTAAACAAAAGTCAGGTGCAGAAGCTCATACCAGAAATCCTAGCACTCAAAAGGTTGAAACAGGAGGGTCACCACTAGTTCAAGGCCACTTGGGGTTACATAGTGAGTTTCAGGCTACCCTAAACCTCAGAGTGAGACCCTATGTCAAGAGACAAAAACAGGGGTCTTGAGAGATGGCTCAGCGGTTAAGAGCACTGACTGCTCTTCCAGAAGACCTGGGTTCAATTTCCAGTACCCCATGTCGAATCACAACCAGCTATCGCATAGTTCCAGAGGATCCGAACCCTATTCTGGCCTCCAAGGGCACCAGGCATGCACATGGTTCACAGACCTATCCACATAAAACTAAATAATAAAATTAAAAATTTAAAGACTTTGGGGCTGGAGAGATGGCTTAGTAGTTAAGAACACTTGCTGCTCTTGTAGAAGACATAGATTCAACTCCCAGCACCCACATGGTGGTGTGCAACCATCCGTAGCCTCAGTTCCAGGGGACCAAACAGGCAGAAATATGGTGTACATACATACATTCATATCCATAAAAATAAATTAAATAATTTCTGTAACCATAACCCTAAATATACAGAAAAATGCTTTGTTAGTAGTAAATCCCTGCTATTAGTATTTACACAATTGATCAAAGCATCAAAACCATATTACAAATTCTTATAACTGCTGGTGTATGAGTTATAAGATACCCAGGCATGCACAAGACCCTGGGGCACATCCTTGGCATCACACACACACACACACACACACACACACACACACACTTATATGTGGATTTAGAGAGGGGGGCAGGAAAGCTTATTAAGAAATACTCGTTTGTTTGTTTGAGACAGGATCTATTTGTGGCCATGGTTGTGCTGGAACTCACTCACTGTTCTACATACCAGGCTGGCTTTGAACTTATAGAAATCTACCTGCCTCTGCCTCTTTTTAGTTAATTTTTTATTGTGCGTTTGTGCATGATGTGTGTGTGGGATACTTGCCATATGTGTGGAGGTTAGAGAATAACCTTAGGAGATGGTTCTTCCTTCCATTTCTATATGGGTTCTGGGGATTGAACTCAGGTCTACACAGCAAGCAACCTTCACAGACTGAGCCATCCTTCTAGACTGAGAAATGCATTCATTTCTTTCTTTTCTTCTTTCATCCCTTTCTCTCTCTCTCTCTCTCTCTGTCTGTCTTTCTTCCATTTTGTTGTTGTTTGGTTGGTATTGTTTGTGTTCTTGGTATTTGGTTTTTGAGACAGGGTTTCTTGAAACCTGTTGAACAAATAATAAAAACCTAGAGATAGATATTGGGGTTAAACCTGAAGACCAGAGAAGCAAAGTGGCCAGTTACTAGAGAGTTCTCACCTCTACCAATGCTCAGATCAAAGGGGCAATCCACCGAACTTCAGACTGCACTGTTCTCAGACTGCACTGCTCTCCACCAAACCTCAGCGCCCTGAGGCTGCACTGAGCTCCTGCCTTATCTTCCTCTCTAGTGCTGGGATTAAAGGTGTGCCACCCCAAGTGCTGGGATCAAAGGTATGAGCTCTGTTTCTCTTTTAGACTGATTCACTATCATGTAGCCCAGGGTAGCCTTGAACTCACAGAGATCCATCTGCTTCTGTCTCCTGAGTGCTGGGATTAAAGGTGTGGCCACCACTGCCTGTCCTTTATGGCTAACTAGTAGCTTAGTGTGTATGTGGCTAACTAGTAGTTCAGCTCTTAACTAGGTGAGTGGCTAACGATCTTCAGGCAAGCATTATTTGTTAGACTACAAACAAAATATCACTACAGAAACCTAGCTGCCATAGGTAGAAACATAGCCCTGGCTGTCCTAGAACTTGCTCTGTAGACCAGGTTGGCCTTAAACTCATAGTGATCCACCTGACTCAGCCTCCCAAGTGCTGGAATTAAAGGCAAGGGTGTATCACCACTGCCCAGTGAAATGCATTCTTTATGAGCCAAACTGGATTCAGCACATTTCTTATGGCAATTGCCTGGGTCTCTGGAGAGATTATTAGAGACCATTTGGTATAATTGTGTAAGAAATTCCATTTACAAATGTCTTTATTGAGAAGCACTCTTCTAAAGAATATGGGAAGGAATGGAAGTATCATAGCTATAGCAATGCCATGCAAACCTTTTAAATCCTTTGCAAGACACAGCCTTCACACGGCTTTGCAACCCATCTCTTCCAGTGGGTTGAAAGCAGCAGCTGCCTGGCTTGGACATCTAGAGTGTCACTAATCTCCAACCACCTTCTCATACTGGCAGCAGTAACTGGAGGACCTACCCCTATCTCTGGAGCCCAGAAGGAATTGTGCCCATCAAAGCACAGCAGAGTAAGATGGCAGAAGGGCAAATGCCATGCGCCTCCTGTAGGTACGGATTTGTTCACGGTGGGGGTGTGGAGATGGGGTCCACTTCAGAAAAGGGTATCTATGTAGACAATGGAGATCTGGAAATCGCTTCCCTCACCAGATCTGCTGGTTTAATTACTCCAGCTACTTGGACCTCACTCCAGACCTCATCTACCCATGCTCTGACCTGTAGCCCCAGGCACTCTGAGTCCCCCAGCAAGTCTCAGGTTAACTCTATTCACCAAGTCTCAGGTTAACTCAATTCACCACATGGCTCCCATCCTATTCAAGTCTATCCAAGAAGTCACCATCCGGGATAACCTCCTGCCTGAAAGCCACAGAAACACCCAGCAGACCATACCTCCTGTAAGAAGGAACGGGCCAGAACTTTCCAGGAAAATAAGCCACGGAGTCCAGGGAAGAAGTGTCAGACCCCCAAGAGACAGTGCAGTTGGGAGTTAAATAATGCTAAAGTGAGACAGACTGCCTGGATTAAAGGCAGCTTCTACAGAACATTGCTTAGTTTTGTTTTTGCTTTGAGACAGTGTCTCACTCTGTAGCCCTGAAACTCGCTGTGTAGTCCAGTCTAGCTTCAAACTCATGGAGATCCACCTGCTTCTACTTCTGCCTCCTGAGTGCTGAGACTAAAGGAGTGTGCCACCATGGCTGCCTCTT